TGCGTGTGCCTCTGAGCACCGTCTTCTGACCACGCTCACGCAGAGATGCACGCCTCGGTCTCTTTAGCTTGGTCCCATTTCAAGAAGAGAAAGCTGGGTCTCAAGAGCAGCTCGTAGTGAGACCCCCCTAGCACAGAAGCCCACTGGGAACGTCTTCAGCTCAGGAAAAAAGCCAGCTCTCGGGGGGGGGGGGGGGGGGGGGGGGCGTCACGTCACTTGCCCATCTTCCATCCCAGCTGTGCTGGAGCTGGGACCCGAGCCCAGGTTTTGTGACACCAGTGCACTGCTCTTTCTACCTCTCTGTCCTTGAACATTAATCCTCCACTCACTGCCTCTTCCGGAGGCAAGAAGCCGGAAGATGCTGAGGTGTATGAGAATGTTACGGGACTGGGATTCCATTTTCTAAGTAGAAAGTTGAGAACTGTGAACTAAAACGAACCAGCCTAATAGCAAACACACGCCACTGACTCAAAGCTGACTGATTTCATACAAAAACAGAGAAATGAACCATATTTTTCAAAAATACCTTTTCAAGGTCAGAGACAAATTCCTTTTACATATCAATTTTTACTTAAATACCTTAAAAGATGAGGTGCTCGAGCTTGTTCACCTCAAATGTACTCTCAAATAACTCAGTGTTTATAACCCTGATCAAAGGACCATCAGAAGTTACAGGAAAAACCAGGTTAACTGCCCCCAGAAACCTTCCTTTTTCCAGTCACAGGTGCGCTTTACTATCAAGAGAAGCTCATGTTTACTTACAAAAAGTATACACCAAGGCCAAACACCATCTTACGCACCGTCTTAGGTATAAAAAGCAAGTAAACATCTCCTGCTGTGCGGCCTGTGGAACATTATTTTATCAGATTTATTTCAAAACGTTCTAGCAAATCAGTCTGCAAACATCGCCCATTCTGGGATGCAGCCTGCTCCTTCCACCCCTTTCTCTGCCCGCTGAAGCCGTGTCCTCTGCTGCCGGGAAACCCTCGGCAGTCAGGACCCGCCCTGCCTCCTGGGCCGCGCCCGACCCCTGCTGCACCCCCACTGCAGGACCGAGTCCTCTGCTGTTGCCTCCCCTGCTGCCTCTGAGCTTCCCGAGGGCAGGGCAGCGCTGCATCCCCTGGGCTCTGCCCCCGGGCGCGGGGCGGCGCTCCACCAGGCCCAGACTGCACCCACAGCCGTCGGCTGCTCCACAGCATTTCAGGCTTCAACACGACTCCTGCTCTTTCCGCAGTTCTCAATTAGAGGCACGTGAAGCTTTCTTTCACTCACGGTTCAAACTTCGGTTTCTCGGAGTAAGCCCCTTCTCACAGCAAACGGAGAAGCAGTTACAAGTAGGACCAATGAGGACAGTCCTGCCTCTTCTACCGCAACATGGAGACAGCAAGCTTAACTGCCGCCTTTTGCTCGCTCCTTCGGTGGATTTCTAGAAAACGGCTTCTGTTCCTTACTGACGGAAACAGACCCAGCTGACTGGTGGCCTGAGAAGCCCCATCAGACGGAACCCTCCCAAGGTCAGTCTGGCGGCCCAGGTCAAAGGGTCTTGGCAGGCTAACGTACTCTGCACTGTCCTCAGGGACACCAGGTGGACTCAAGGTCTGTCACTGCCACTTCCCACCCATGCCGAGACTTCACTCAACATGCCACTTGGCTACAAAGGGTCTGACGTCACCACTCAGCTTTCTCTAAACAGCTGGCAAGTTTCGTGCTGCGTAACCTAAAGGATCACTTTCCCGATTCTTATGAATAAAGTCTGGGCTGGGTCATCCTTTCTCCTCTAACCTTAAATGTGACAATGATGCTCTCTCAGTTTCCTCTCAGGAAAACCTGACGGGCAGGTGAACCGGGGTTGGCCTCACACAGAAGACAGCTGTGGCCCTCAGTAAATGGCAGCCACTGTCATCTCATGACCAGCAAGGTAAACACCAGTGCTCCCGTTTGCAGACGAGGAGGGCCAGGGAGGCCGGGTGACTTGCTGAAGTCACAGAGAGGGTACGTGATGGATGAGAGGCTGAGTCCAGGCTGGTCTGACCAAACCCTTCAGTAGGTTACTCAGAAAAGCTTGTTTTCTATCAATATTTACTCTCTACTCAAATTATTACAAAGACCATGGTACTCAAGGCCTCCATTCAACCAAGACCCAAATAGAAGAGTCTTTCATAAAGAAATGAGACCTTTGGAACTTGTCTAGTTAGGATTAGATCAAAGCCCCAAAGCCTGCACAGAACCGACAAATGTCCCGTGGACTGGCCCTCGCTAGCGTCTCCAGGCACCTCTCACTCCACCACCCTCGCTCTAGGGGCTCCAGCCACCCTGACCTTCTTCCACCTCCTGCAATGCTCCTTCCTGCCACAGGGCCGTGGCACCCGCCATACTCTCCGCTAGAACGCTCCTTCCCACCTCCACCTGGGTAACCCCGTTCATACTTCAGGTCTCTGCTCAAGTACCACTTCTGCACAGAAGCCTTCTGCCACCACCTGGACCAGGGGACCCCCTCCATCATCCCACGCTCTTCCAGATGTGCATTCCTACCTGCACAGCACGCATCTCAGTTTGCAATTACACACACTCATACAAATCATCAGTGTGATTATTTGATGAGCATCTTCCCCCCATAGTCTCCAGGCCCCACGAGCGCAGGGACCAAGGTAGTCTTTGCCCATCACGCAGCCCCAGCACTTAGCACGGGAGCAACCAAAGCAGGGACTCAGTGAGGGTCTGCTGAGCGAATGAATGACGAAGCATGAGTCCTCTCGTGTAGTCCTCCCAACAACCCTATATGGTCACAATATTATCTCCTTCTACAAATGGAGAAACTGAGGCTCTGAGAGTCAAATTAACTTGCCCAAGGCCACAGAACTAGAAAGGCAGGACTTGAACGTGGGGCTCTCTTTGTCCACATGCCCCACCCACACCCCTACCTCCACCCCAGGACACCACACCCGGTACTAGAGCCCCCACTCCTCATCAGGGCCAGAGTATCTTTACCGTCACTCCCGTGCCCACCCTGCCCTCTGCAAACACAGAAGAAAGAAAGCCGGAAGATCAGCCCCCGACCTCGGGCTCCAGCGAGAGGAGACGCTCACCCCGTGTTTCTGGATGGCGACGTTGGTGAGGTGGACGAACATGTTGTCCAGCTCGCTGGTGCTTGGCGTGTACTTGACGGTGCAGAAGCGGCAGAAGCCGAGCTTGTACCTGGGTGGGGATTCAGACGCCGTCACACCCGGGGGAGAAGCACAAACGTCCAGCACCTGGTTCTCGAAAAAGAGCTGCTTTTTTTGTTTTAAACTTTTAAAAGAGCTGCTTTTTAACTTTTTTAATGGATTTTTTAATAATAGCTTTATTAAGATAACATTCAGATGCCACATAACTCACCCCCCTAAAGTATACGACTCAGCGGTTTTTGGTATATTCACAGAGTCGGGCCACCATTACCACAATCAATTCTACAACATTTGGGTTACCCCCAAAAGAAACCCGGTGACAACCAGCAGTCGCTCCCCAACCCCAGTGCCGGGCAAACACCAATCTACTTCCTGTCTCCAGAGATTTGCCTATTCCGGGCATTTCACATAAACAGAATGATACCGTGTGTGGCCTTCTCTGTCTGGCTTCTTCCACCGAACACGTTGGCAAGGTTAGAAGAGCTGCTTTTATTTACAAGAGTGACGCTAGCACCAAGGTTAACCGCTCAACACCACCATGCGCCAGGCACCCCATGTGCGGAGTGCTTCGCTGACCCTCGTGGTGCTGGGGAGCACCAAGGGTCATGGCACAGCACAGTCTGAGGAAAGGAAACAGCACTCCGGGGCTCTTACATGTAGCAGCGCAGCGGGCGGTACGTGGACACCAGCACGTACAGGCGCAGGTCGAACTTCCTCCCGCCGATGAGTAGGGGGTTGTTAATGTAGAGAGAGATCACGTAGGCTTCCTTGGTGGACTGGGACACGAACCTGACGCGGCAGACACGGTCAAGATCAGATGCAAGACCAAAGGTGCTGAGTCGGCTGGGGATGAGCTCCTCGCCTCGGGTTAAGTGAGCGGCGGGCTCATCAGGGAGAAAACGAGGGTGAGGAGCATCCGGGGGGAGGAGCCCCCACCCTGGTGACAGAGCCAGCAGCTCCTGGGAACCCAGCAAGGAAGTGCTCCCCGGGCCTGAACCCCCGGGGCCTAGCACCTGCCATCTGACGTAAACACACTCCACCTGCCACTCCTCACAGGGCAAGGATCACAGCCTCCAAACCCCGGGGGAGACTTGGCCTGACCGGCGCCCAGCGCTGCTCCGACTGCTGGCCGCGCATGCTGACTGGTGATCCGCGCAGATTAACTCGGTCCGTGCCCACCTCACCTGCGCCCCGCACCATGCGGGTGGTGCTATTAGTGTCCCAAGTCTACCCAGATGAGGCATCTAAGAGTCTACACAACAAAACCTACTCAGACAGTAAGTGTCAGACAGGGATTCAAACGCAGGCACCCTGGGCCCAGGTCTTAAGCAGGTGCTTCTGGGCCTCAGAAACACCAGGACTGGCTGGGCCTCACACCAGCTTTCGGAACAAAGGGCGCCCGAGGCTCCCGGCTCCTGGACCTTACGCTGCTCGACCACCACTTCCCTCTGCCGCTCCCCTCGGGGAGAGTCTACAGCTGGGCCACTACTGTAGCCACACGGCCTTGCCCTGCTGCCACGCGACAGCGACGTACACCTAAGAGCAAGCGAGGGCCACCCAGTCCTCGGCCCAAAGACTGACGGACGGCGTGAAGCTATCAGCTAGGAGGCACACGGGGTGGGTGGCTCCCCACACTTACGAAGATGTCTTGCTGTCCCGGGACCACTTTTTGATCTGCGAGAGCTTGTTGATCAGAAAGATGCCCTTTCCCTGGGCTTTGCCGCAAGGTTTCATGATCCAGGTGCTGGAGGGGCTCTTCCTGAACTCCTCCACGAACAGGTTGTAGTCGGCAGGCAGCATATAGGTGACCGGAACAAAGTCTGAAAGGGACAGCAGAGGGGACAACGGTGAGCCAGCCCACCAGCGGCCATGAACAGAAAAACACGGCTACCACCTTTTCAGGGGCCGGCTTCACTGCCCCCCACCCCCAACCCAGCATCTACCAGAAAAGGACCTCTGTCGTTCAATTCCTGCACAACAAGGGAGCTTTCCTACCCTTGTGCTCAGCACTTGACAGGTCGGCACCACCTAATCCCCACACCGACCTGCCGGCTAGGCACTATCATCATTCCCATTTATCAGACAAGGAAACTGAGGCCTAGAGAGGTGGGTTATATGATTTTTCTCAGGTATGTAAAGGGATTCTGAAACTATCCGACAGTCCAGATGGGACTGTCACCGGTCCCGTGGAACTGGTGACATGGACACGATGGAACAGGGACACAGCCTTCTCCCTGCATATCACCAGACACAGTAATGATCCTTTGTGGCAGTTCGTAGCTCAGGCTGTGTTCCCCCCATGCTGAGCCCCGAGGACAGTCTGTCCCTCACATGCAGGCAGCACATTCCCAAGGCACTCATGGAAACAGATTCCAAGCTTGAGGCCCCCCCATTCTGGAGACACTCGGAATGAACGAGGTGCCCGCCACAACTTGCACAGACTCCCACCCACCAGAGCCAACAGTCGCCATCTTGGTGCCTCGTGCCACTGACGTAAAAAACTCAACTATTTACTTAAAACTTGAGGCCAGTGAAAGAGGCACAAACCCAGATAGAGGTATTTCCCATTTTCATCTTTTTCTGCCAGGGGACTGCCTTCTTTCTCCAGCTCCTTCCTGTATCTTTTAATATTCTTCACCATCAGATCCTTCCGTGTCAGTTCGTAGTGGTTCGGAAAATGGTTGACTATTTGATCGTCGGAGAGCCGATAGCCCGTTTCGACACTAAAAACATTTCGGATGGTTTGCACACTCATCCTGAAAGAAAAGGATGAGCAAGAGGACAGCTCAGAGTATGTCCACGTGGTGGCAGCGCTCGTCAAAGCCCAGGGGACTCTCGACCCGGAAGCGCGCTCCCTCAGAGCTGACCTGTTCCCCCAGCTCCTGGTGCAGGATGGTGTCCCGTGACCGGCTGTGACCTGAACCCTCTGAGACACAGGCGGTTTTGATTCTGTACCCTGAACAGTTTCACTCTCTGGCACAGTAAATGCTCAATGTTTATTCATCAGTGACACCACTGATTGTTGATAACAAACTAATGAAAGACAGCCTCCTTCAGACTCTGAAGTCAGGAAACTCATTTACACAGTATTTGCACCCAAAGTCAGGAAGGACAAAGACCCCTTAAAACCAAAATCACAAGGTCATTCCCGGGCCCTGAGTCCACAGCTCACATTCCTAGAGAGACCTGTGACAGGCCAGCTGAACTGGCTGCACCCCATGGAAAGGGGGAGTTGTAAGAGAAATGCTCCAATCCTCTAAGGAGGCCAGTCTCCCTGCCACACCTATCCCTCCTCGCCAGTTCCAGAGGCGGGGAAGGAGCAGGAAGGACGGAAGGCTGGCATCAGCAAAGGAGCCAGAGTCACAAAACAAGGCGGGTCGTCATGTGGCCTCTCACTCCCCAGTCCCCACCCCGCCCCACCCCCATCCCACCCCACCGACCACAGGGCTTCTTTTCACTCCATGGTCATGAGAAGACAGGGATTATTATTAATTTTTTTTTACTATTTTGGAAAAGCTCAACCACATGCAAAAGTAGAGAGAAAAGTGTACCAGAACCCCATTACCCCACTTCAACAGCTGTCACCACGCAGCCAGGCTTGTCGTGTCTGTACCCCACCTGCTGCCCACAGCACTGGCTTACCCTCAAGCAATTCCCAGACAGCGCGTCATCTCTTCCAAAAAATCCCTGTAAGGATCTCTAACAGTTAAGGCTTCCTTTTTTTAATTGTTATTATTATTTTTCCCTGCTTTTTCTCCCCAAATCCCCCCAGTACATAGTTGTATATTCTAGTTGTAGGTCCTTCTAGTTGTGGCATGTGGGACGCCGCCTCAGCGCGGCCTGACGAGTGGTGCCATGTCCACACTCAGGATCCGAACCAGTGAAACCCCAGGCCACCGCAGCAGAGCGTGAGAACTCAACCACTCGGCCGCGGGGCCGGCCCCTGGGCTTCCTTTTTATATTGTACGATATCCTCTTTCATACTGTTACCACAACTGAAAAAAAGTAGCAGTAACTCCTGAAATCATCAAATGCTAGTCAGAGTTCAGATTTCCCTAATAAATATTTTTTACAGCTGGTGCAAATAAAGGCCGGAACTCCCGATTAATTGTTCTCCCTCACATCTCTTCTAATCTACACATTCTCCCGCTCTTCTTTTTTTTTTTTAAGCTTTTTTTTGCTGAAGACCTTGGGTCATCTGTCCTGTAGGTTCTCCCGGGCTCTGGGCTCCCCCGACTTCCTGTAACCTGTGAGGCAGGCCCAGAGGCGGCAGGAGCTGCAGGTCAATTTCTGGGCAGGGCTGCGTCCTGGGCGGCGTGTACTGACACCAGCAGGCACCTGCAGCTGGTCAGTCATAGATGAGAAATATGATGCGACCCACAACCGAGAGCCACATAGGTAACTCTGAATTTCCCAGCAGCCACATTAAATCAAAACAAAAAAAGTTAAAATAGGTGAAAATAATTTTAATAGCGCTTATTTAATCCAATATGTCCAAAATATTATCATTTCAACATATAATCAATATGGAAGTTAGTAATGTGTAACTTTACACTTGCTTCTTCATGCTAAGTCCTCAAAACGTGGCGTGCATTTCACTGGACGGCACAGCCCCGCGGGAGCGGCACAGCGAAGCACGCAGGAGCCCGTGGCCAGCGGCTCCCACACCTGACAGACCTAGACCCTTATTTCGTTAGGGGTTGCAAAATGGTGATATTCTTTTTCATTCCTCCTTCATTTATGAGCGGGAATATTTCTACAAGGAGAAATTTCCCTTCATCAACAATTTAGATAACCCGAAAAATAGTTTATACAGGAAAGACTGAATAAAATGCTAGATTCTTTCATTTACTTACCAGTTTATCATTGAAATAAGGAGCTGATCCCTACCATTCTCAGATGTGTGACACGTTGTGTTCTGGGACCTATTACCACAAAATAATTACCCCACTTAAGACAACCATTTTATTCTATCTCATGGTTTTGTGGGTCAAGAATTTGGGAAGGGCTCGGCTGAGCGTTCTTCTGCTCCAAGTGGCGTGACTGAGGTCACTGGGTGGCATTCAGCTGGCAGATGGGCTGGTCTGGAGGGTCCAAAAAGGCTTCATTCCCCTCTGGCACCCTGGTGGGCATGGCCGGAAGGCTGGGGGCAGCTGCCCCTCCCTGCACAGGCCTACACACAGCAAACAGTCCCGGGAGAGTCCGGCTGCTCACACAGCGGCTCAGGGCTCCTGGAGACGGTTCCCACAGAGGAGATGGAAGCTGCTAGTTTCTTAAGGCCTGGGCCACACACGTATCAGTTTCACCATATTCCACAGGTCAAAGCAGTCACAGAGGCACCCAAATTCAAGGGGAGGGGACAAAGACTCCATTTCTACAGGGGAGTAGTGTTTAAAACTTTGTGGCCATTTTAACGTGCCACAAATTGTGAGTGGGTTTTGTTTTGTTTTGTTGCATTTTTATGAACTCACAGATTCAGACATATTTGATGAGTTTCAATCTGTTACAAGTATTCCCACGGAAGCTCAAACTGTCCCCGTCTGGGGCAGAAGGAGCCCTCCAAGTCGTCTCCTGAGTCGTATTAAGGTGACTCCAGCAGTCCTCGACAACGTCCCTGCTCTCAAGTGTGACAAGGTGTTCCAAGCTCACCTTGTGCGTGTATTTCTTCCTGAGGCCTGGCACCGTCATTTCTCCAAGAAACAAGGGACCCTTCCAATGAATAAACATCCACCTACTGGGCAGACTGACTCTAAAATGGTCCCAATTCCCCACCCTTCTTGTTTCCATCCCACGTCATTTTGTAGCCACTCCCACCAGGAGGTGAAATCTATTTCTCCTTGAATTGGGGCGCACCTGATGCCTTGCTTGGGCCAAAAAGAATGCGGCAGACGTGATGTGGGCCACTTCTGAGACTGGCCCCGAAAGGCCTTGGGAGCTGCCACCCTCCCCCTTGGACCCTGCCACCCCCAGAGAACAAGCCCAGGCTCCTCGGCGGGAGGGACGGGAGGGATCTGTGGGCAGAAGCCCCTGCCGTCCTAGCCGAGGGCCTCCTAGACCAGCGGGGCCCAGCTGACCCGCCAGCTGACAGCAGATGCCTGCACGAGCCCAGGTAGTGTCAGCTAAGTCTTGTTAGGCCAAAAGAACCACCCAGCCAAACCCACGAAACCACTCATAAAAAACGCCGTTTGACGCCCCTAAGTTTTGTAGTGTTCAAAACTCACCATCAATTTGGCAACAGACAACGAAGCCACCCGCTCTAGCACAGCCATTGTTCTCGCGTTTCTCGTTGCTTCTCCTTCCTGCCCAGATGCAGGCTGTTTTCGCACAGAATTTTTGCACAGAACACAAATTCAATTTCATAACATGCTTTTTCTCATATTTACTGTCATACAATTTTCTGAACTGCTGTATATTCATTGCAATTATTTTAATGGCTCCATCAGTTACGTATTTACTCTCCCAAAATGGTGAACATTTAGTTGTTTCTAATATCTTACCCTAACCTATTTCTTAAGAACTGACAGTAACGTTTAGTGCTTAAAACAGGAGCTCTTGGGGCTGGCCCCGTGGCCAAGTTCGCGCGCTCGGCTGCAGGCGGCCCAGTGTTTCGTTGGTTCGAATCCTGGGCACGGACATGGCACTGCTCATCAAACCACGCTGAGGCAAGGTCCCACATGCCACAACTAGAAAGGACCCACAACGAAGAATATACAACTATGTACCGGGGGGCTTTGGGGAGAAAAAGGAAAAAAAAATAAAATCTTTAAAAAAAAAAAAACAGGAGCTCTTAAGATATCAACTATCCAAAGTTATTATACTGCTTAGCTCTTTTCTTCCCTCTCTCATTGTCTCTCTTTTGTTAAGAATAGCTCCAGGGGCCAGCCCAGTGGTGTAGTGGTTAAGTTCATGCTCCACTCGGTGGCCCGGGGTTCGCCAGTTCGGATCCTGGGTGAGGACCTACATACCACTCATCAAGCCATGCTGTGGCAGGCACCCCACATACAAAATAGAGACAGACTGCTACAGATGTTAGCTTAGGGCCAATCTTCCTCACCAAAAAAAAAAAGAGAGCGGCAGAAAGAACAGCTCCAAAATGCTTCTTATTTGGCATGAAGAAGAGAGCACTCCACTCCTTCGCTGACCACTGATCACCTACTCAGAGAAGCCAACAGAACTGAGCATCTGCTGAGCCCGTGGCACAGAGCTGGGGATGCAAAGTGATAAGTACAAAACATTGTCTTTTTTCTTTTGAGGAAGATTAGCCCTGAGCTAACATCTGCCGCCAATCCTCCTCTTTTTTGCTGAGGAGGACTGGCCCTGAGCTAACATCTATGCCCATCTTCCTCCATTTTATATGTGGGATGCCTGCCACAGCATGGCCTGCCAAGCGGTGCCATGTCCGCACCCGGGATCCGAACCCACGAACCCCAGGCCGCCAAAGTGGAACGTGCACACTTAACTGCTGCGCCACCGCGCCAGCTCCCAAAACACTGCTTATCCAGCCTTTTCTTGCAGAGCTCTTATGAAACAGGGATCTGGATAAATTATTTCATTTGACCTCTGAGGTGTAAGAACATAAACTCAACGCCAAACCATATACCGGTGCTGGATTTCTCCATAAACGCTCTCCCCAGCGGCATTCCTGCTCCTGGCGAGAAATCAGTTGTGGTTCAAGCGTAGGGAACTCTAACTGCCGCTGGGAGCAAAGCAAGGGGCTCCCTCCTCTCCTGCTGGAGACGGAAGCTAGGTGCTGTCCACGCTATGCTGGGCTGCGTTGGGCGCTGGGGCTGCTGAGACAAGCCAGGCACGGTCCTCACTCACAAGGGCTCACAGGAGCACGTAAGGAGGGACAGGCGGGGAAGTCACTAATCGTGGCACCCAGCACGTGCTGCGTGGCACCCCAATAAAGCAGTCCGGGAGCCTGCGAGAGCCACAGGCGGCTTCCGGGTCAGGCAGCACGCGTGCTGGTGCACAACGGGCGGCAACGGCACACGCTCATCACTGAGTGCCCACCCCATGCCGGGCACTGCTCCAAGCCCCATGCTACACTGACTCACTCAGACCTCTGACAAGCGTATTTGCAAACAGAGCTCAAGTCCTCTGCTAACGGCCACCCAGACGGCGGTGGAGGAGCTCGGGGGTGCCACCCAGCATGACTCTTGCTCCAGGGCCTGGACACCCAGCCCCTGGATGCCCTGCGTCTCCCCAGGATGGGCTGGGAGGGGGCAGAAAGCACAGCACGTACGGAGGTGCAGAAGCAATAAGGTCTCAGCAGGTCAACGGGGGAGAGTGTGCAGCCTGCTGCTTGGGGGGAGTGGGCTGGACAGAGGCCGGGACATCTCTCAGGGCAGCAGCAGGGAGAGTGAGTCTTAGGCAGCGGGGGAGATGTGCAGGGTGAAAAAGCCCCCAGAGACCCTGATGTGCTCCCACACCAGACGCCCCACCCCAAAGATTCACTGCAACGCTCTGGGCCCAGGAGCTGCAGAGGGTCTGGGATGGCAGAGGCAGCGAGCAGATTTACGTCTTGACAGGTAACCCTGCCGGAAGGCGGAGGCTGCCCTGAGGCAGGGACCCCTTCAGATGCTATGACTGTCACCCCGAGGGAGGGAGCAGACCAGGCCTGGACCCAGGACCTCATCCGGATGAAGTGGGGGAGGCGGGGCGGGGAGAGGAGTCTAAGACTCCCAGGTTCTTGGCCGGGTGGAGCCAATGCCAGAACACCGCTTCTCTTTTCCTCGTCTAACTCACTTTCCAGTTGTTTTCTATTTAGTCTAACGAGCACCCTCGGCATACCAGAGGGAAGCGAAAGGAGGCACAGAGCCCTCTGCACAGTGCGCTTCCCAGCACGGAACTGACTGTGACGAACGTGACTGGGGGGAGGGGTGGGCTCTGGTTCCCCCCAAATTCCCACAGTGCTATGCCCCCTCGGCTGTGCGGAAACATGCCCGGACTTCTCCCCAAGGCTGACAAACAGCAGCGCCGGAACACTCCACAAGGATGCGAACCGAGGGCTGGCTCGGCTTGTGCTCACAAAGTGCCCTGGGATGAAAAATGTGTCACGGGAGGCACACGACGGCCTGGAGACCCCGACCTACCTCGGGGCACGCAGGCCTGCACAGGTGCAGTCTGCACTCTGGTGCTAGAAATAACACCACCCACGAACAGGCTTCAGGGAAACAATTGAATGTGGCTCTTTGTACTCACCAGTAAAAATTCCAGTCCTCGTTTTCTGTCACTTGGACCCATCCTCTCTTCTCAAAGTTATTTATCAGCACCGACTTCTCGATGTCAGTGACCCATTTCACTTTTCCTGCCATAATCCTGGAAGAGATCAGCTTAGCAGAGCTCTGAAACTTCCACAACCAACTCCCCCCATCCCAAAGGAATCCTCCAGACGTGCGAGCTTCCACCCTCACCCCAGCTCCACACACTCCCCGCAGTGGTCTCAGCCGGGGCAGACCGCCCCCAGGGGACACTGGCAACATCCGGACGCATTTCGTTTGTCACCACCCGGGATGGGGGATGCTTCTGGCACCCAGTGTGCAGAGGCCAGGGACGCTGCTCAACACCCTACAACGTACAGGAGGGTCCCCCGGGACCAAACATCCAGTGCAAAATGTCAGTTGTGCCAAGACTGAGAAATCCTGGTGGAGTGGGACAGAAAGGCAGCAATGAAATAAGCCCCAGGTTCTGTTTAATCGCAACTGTGACAGGAGCCACAGCAGGGAGGCACCTGGAGCTCCAAGGGCCGGGGGCAGCTGGCTCTGAGGGGGGACTCTGGAGCTGACTTCCGCTGGGTGGGCAGGCATACCTGTCCCCACGTGGGCCCCTCCCCCAGGAACGCCTACCTCCCTGCCTTCTCCCCGCGTCGCTGCACTCTCTGTCAGCGTGGGTGATTTTTAAGCGTTTATCTGACCACCTCACTCCCCTGTTTAATGACCTCCGTGGCTCCCCAGTGCACCTGAAATACGCAGACCCCTGGCCCTCACCTGCTTCTCCAGGTACATCTTAATGCCGCCTTCTCCTTCACCTGCTCTGTTCTTGCCACACTGGCCTTTTCTGCTCTCTTCCACCTCAGGGCCTTGGCATATGCTGGGTCTCGGCCTGCCGCTCTCCCCCTCCCTCGCTGCCTGGCTAAGTTACTGCCCATTCATCTATCTGCCAGCGAAGGAATGTCCCTTCCTCCACAAAACCCCGACTCCCCAGACCGGGCGTGCAGCTCCTCGGCACCCCTGCAGCCCTGCCCCTGCTTCAGGGTGGAGCTGGCTTCCTTCCTCACTGCCTCGTGCCCCTCGCCTAGCACGGTGTCTGGCCTGCAACATGCTCAATGCAGGCAGACTGGCTGCAGTCCCAGGCCTGTCAGAACCACGTGTGATGTCGAGCAAGTTACCTGACCTCTCTGGACCTTAGTTTCCTGCTATGAAAAGTCTGGTTTCCAAACGGCTCGGGCGGGTAGCGTGGGATCCCAGGCCCCCAGCCCAGCTCCAGCCAGAGCAGCTTACATATGGTAGCATCAGTATGCAATTTCATCTGAAGGCTCCCGCGCCAACCAGCTTGGAAGCCAGGGGACCTGAGGGCCATTTGCAGATGGAGGCGCCTCCTCTGTGGATGGGCATAGCTTCCCTTTTGGGGCAGCTTGATAGGTCAGAAAAGGCGTGGGATGTGGGGATGACCCATGCACACCCTCCTCAGGAGAGGGAAAGAGAGGCACTCCAGGGACAACATCCACCAGGTGGAGCCCAGGGTGCTTCCACACAATGTCAGCCCGCCCCTTCCTCACCCCAAAACCCCCAGCAAGGCTGGCAGTGTCAAAGAGGTGGGACTGTGGTAGTACAGGTCCACGGCTGGGGTTTGAGGCCCAGCTCCACCACTCACAGCTGTGTGACTCTGGGCAAGGTACTTAACCTCTCTGAACTTTCGTTTCCTCATTTGCAAAATGGGGATAACAACAGTATCTACCCACCTCGTGGGGTTATGGTGAGGATTAAGTGAGTGAACACACAGACAGCACTGGGAGCTGCGCCTGGCACAGAAAGCACTCAAGCAACACCTGATATCATCATCATCTTCCCCATTTTACGGATGAGGAAGCTGAGGCTCAAAGGCCAGGGGCCTGTGTAAGAACCAGACCGAAGGGAGTCATGGTGCCTTGATTCAAGCCTAGGGTGACCCCACCCTAGAGTCCACCTCTCCCCACACAGCCCACGGCTTCCCTCCGTGAGCCCGGCCTTCATCAGGACGAGGACAACACCCACAGGGGCGAGGTGAGGGACAAAGGGACTGCTCTCTGCGAACTATGAGGTGCCATGTGACAACCAGATAAGGTGAACTGATCGGTCAGGATCGGCGTGGAGCCAGCACCCCCATGGGAATGAGGGCAGAAGCCCCGCAGGAGCTGGACTCCAACGTGTGGGGACCACGTGCCCCCGCAGGGCAGCGAATCCACGGGCCTCACTGGTGTGCACACGTCACGGCTGACCACCGAGGGGTCCCCTTCCTCTCCGACTTCAGCCTGCAGGGCCCGCGTACCTGCTGAACCCTGCTCGTGTTCTGCCCTTAGAGGCCACCGCAGACTCGGCGTTCGGGTGAGAACCGCGCCCCAGCCTGGCCTCGCCCGCACCACCCACACGCTGCGCTTCAAACACATCTCACCGGGCGGCCTCACGCAGCCGCTGACCAGCCTGGGGACGACGGCAGAGCCAAGGGCAACAACGTAAACCAGCAAGGGCGGGGCCTCCGCCTGTACCGCGCTGTAACGATCACAAACACTTCCAGGGCTGCGCCCCAACCCAATGGGGCAGACGGGGCCAATATCTCAGCCCCCTTTAGGAGCAGGAAACGGGGCCTCCGAGGGGTGAGCTCCTCTCCCTGGCCCCCCACGCCCTCTCAGCGTGTGTCCAGATGGTCACGGAGGAGGCCCCCAGCTGGACCTACCATAGGCACTTATGGAGCCCGCGCGACGTCCAACTTCTCTTCAGTTTCCCTCACTCCTGCCGTGGGTCCTTCCCTAAAAGAAAATTAATACAAGATGAAATGTGCGCAGCACAAGACCAAGAGACACTCAGCTTCAGGAACACGGCAAATCAGGACCAGCCAGAGGATTCGGGGGGAGGGGCCCTCAGTTTACCCAGAAGATGCCCGTGGGTTCTCCTCTGGCTGCAAGAAACACTTCTGAATTCTTTTACTTATTAACTCCTGCCAACCTTTTCGAGCTGCCATGCCACCCCTTGGCCTCAGTCACCCGCTGCTTTGGTGGGACTCGATGACTTCCTTGCTGTTCTGGACACACACAACCCTCTCCCACCTGCCAGCCTGTACCCATGCCGTTCCCTCCCATGAAAGGCCTTTCTCGACGCTTCTTATCCAACTCCACCAACCACATGAGCAAGGCACAGTTCACAGGCCACTTCCCCAGGGAGCCATTCTCATCCACTGGCTGGAATTCACGTTTCCCCCCAGGAACCCTCTGGCTGCCTCCCCCAGTCATAGGGCGCTCAGAACTCCCCACCTGGCATGTTAGTCCTTTGGGTGCATCCCTCCTACAGACGCAGGAGGGTGGGGCTCTCCCAGTCGCCCGTTTCCCTCTCCTCCCACTGATTCTAGATTTAAGTGCGAGCATTTGCAGCAAACCCCCTAGTCCATGTACCCACCCTACGAGCTCCAGCACCGAGCCCACGGGTACACGAGAGGCAAGCCATGACCACGTATTGCGCGAGTGCATGCGTGGGCAAGAGCAGAAATCCTCGAGGGCAGTCCTCTGAACCTGACTCTTCACTTGCAACTGTCCCTTGCTTGGAAATGTTATGGGTTGAACTGTGTCCCCCAAAAAGATACATTGAAGTCCCAACCCTGGTCCCTGTAAATGTGACCTTATTCGGAAGTGGGCTCTTCATGGTTAAGATGAGGTCATTCAGGTGGACCCTAATCCAATGACAGGTGTCCTGATAAGAAGGAAACAGAGAGAGAGACACACACATGCAGAAAACACCATGTGAAGACACAGGGACACACAGTCACAGAGGGAAGGTGGCCATGTGAAGATGGAGGCAGAGACAGAAGTGATGCTGCCACAAACCAAGAAATGCCTGGGGCCGGGAGGCAAGCGCTCCTCCCCTGGATTCTCCAGAGGGAGCGCGGCCCACGAGCACCTCGACTTCAGACTCTGGCCTCACTGCGCCACCAGCTGTGGCACTTGTTACTGCAGCCCTAGGAAACCACGAGATGTAACCATCCTAAACTCCACGGAAAAAGAAGACTGAGAAATGTATGCCTACAAAGAGTTTTAAATATATATGTGGGAGACAGAGCACAGTAAAGTGATGAGCAAGAGGACAAGATAGTCATCTGTGGTTTAAAAAAAAAAGAAAGGAAGACATGAACTAAGGCCACCTCTCCTTTCAAGAGACATGGGACCTCTTTTCAGAAATGTGCCAAAACCACCCCCAAGCACCAATGATGAGGCAGCCCCGGGAAGAGCCAGCGGAGGGCCAGCGGCTTGCTCCACAGCTGGCCCTCGGAGGACCCGCTTCATTTCCAGTGCCGACATGCCTGAGCCTCGAATACTGGCGAGTTCTCTCGGGGCCCCCACCTCCTGTCACACAAATGGGGGTGAGGGCAGCACTCCTCTGCAGGCTCGCTGGGACTGCGGCGAGGTTGTCTGGGGGACGCACAGCAGGTCCCCCAAACAGGTGACGGACATGAAACAAGTACATCGGGCAGAAAGAGCTGAAGCTTTTCCCGACTCAGCAGCGCACCCTCCTCCACTCCAGCCCCTCTTACAGGCAGCCCGCCAGGCTGCTGGCCGGGGCTGGAGAGCAACCTGCCCTCACAGAGGAAGTTATCACACATTTATATTTTCATCAAAACAACAGCCACCACTTAGTAAGCACTGGGACGTGTCAGGCAGTTTCGCGTACATCCTCCTCTAAGATGTATGTTTCTGTGGCTCACGTGATGCCGTGGGGCAGGCAGTCGCCCCATCTGTCGATGGGGAAAGTGGGGCTTGGACACTAAGAGGCTATGACCTGTTGACAACCTACACCGCCTCCCTCCCACACAACGTGTCAACCGTCAGTGTATACGTGTCTCCCGCCTCAGACGCCAACCTCCCGCAGGGCAGGGGGTGGGCTGACTCGTCTGTCCCCCAGCACCTAGCTGGGGCCAGCGCAGGAAGGGGGCTCAGAAATCGTCTGCAGAACAGACACATGAACCAGCTGGGCCATCCCCACAGTACAGAAGCCCGAGCTGACTCCTTCCCAGCCCTGAGAAATACTAAGTCCTCTTCCTTAGAGAAGTAAATAAACAGATACCTGATGCCAGATTGTTTTCCCGTCACCTCCTCCTAAAACAGAAAAAAAAAAAAAAAAAAAAAGGAAGGTTAACAGTAGTATGTAATGAACTTGAAATGTCACATCCCTACTGGTTCGCATGAACTGATGCATCTGAATTTTAAGCCACTCGGTCAGCTACTCTCAAAGCTAAGCATCGGGAAAACAGACTGACGTGCTGATCTTTATGCTGCTCACAGCTCGAAATCGCAGTGGGCTGTCACCACCCGAGGTATGTCAGCCGCAGAAAGCCATCCTGAAACCAGACAGTTGCAGAACACAATGTGGGTCCCATTCCTGGGGCAAGTGGGCAGGATCTTCACAAGCTCGAGCACAAGCTCCCACAGGGGCAGCCCTGGGCGTCTGGGCCATCTGTGGTCTAGCTTCTATCTGTCTACTCAGCATTGACAGCCACTCTGTGCCAGGCCCACGACAGGAGACACAGAGCTGCCCGGGACGAGGTGCTCCGGGACAGTCCTGATCCAGGCGAGGCAAGAGATACACTCAACAAGCTGTAAGGCCAGCGGCAAAGTGCTTTCACAACCCTACAAAGTTCAACTGTGGCCCTGAGGAGCAAGTGACTATCAATTCAGTGCAGCACCAAATTGTGTCAGCTCTACACCAGAAGACTCCAGATCCACGCCTGCAATCCTGGACAACCGCAGGAGGACCAGACTGGTTTCCTTAGTGCCATCCTTACCCCCCTGCAACCCATTCTCCACCCAGAAGGCTGAACTCTTTACACACACAAAGCAAATCACGTCCCATCATGAGAGCAGAAACACTGTTCCACTTTATCTCCCGCTGAATCCTCAGCACCCAGGTCAGTGTCCAGTGATGGCAGGCGCTCAATCAATATTTGATGAATTAACAAAAATAAAGAAGTGAATTCCTTGCAAACTAGTGCAGCCACTATAGAAAACAGTATGGAGATTCCTCAAAAGATTAAAAATAGAACTACCATATGACCCAGCTATCCCGCTACTGGGCACCTATCCAAAGAGCTTGAAGTCAGCAATTCCAAAAGTCCTGTACACCCCAATGTTCATTGCAGCATTTTTTACAATAGCCAAGACATGGAAGCAACCTAAGCGCCCATCAACAGATGATTGGATAAAGATGTGGTATATATACACAATGGAATACTACTCAGCCGTAAAAAAGAACAAAATTGTCCAATTTGCAACAACATGGTTGGACCTTGAGGGTATTATGTTAAGTGAAATAAGCCAGATTGAGAAGGACAATATCTGTATGACTCCATTCATATGAGGAATTTAAACTTGTAGACAAAGAGAACAGATTAGTGGCTACCAGGGGAAAGGTGGGGTGGGGGGTGGACAGAAAGCGTGAAGGGGTGCACCTACAACACGACTGACAGACAATAATGTACAAGTGAAATTTCACAAGATTGTAACCTAACATTAACTCAATAAAAATTAAAATAAATAAATTTAAAAAATAAAGAAGTGAATTCCTTCCAAACACAATCAAACAAGTGCTGTTTGTGCCCAGCAGTGAATCAGGCACGGCCCAGAGGCCTTGCACTTCGTGGAGTCACAACCACTCTCAGACGAAAGCCAGGACAACCTTTCGGGAGAAACAGCAAGCAGACTAGTCATTTCACACCTCTGGGTCCAGCCATCAGAAAACAGGAGCCCTTTCTACTCCATCCCCACTACCCCAGACACTTCCATCACTACAGTCTCAACAAAGTCCCAGCTAGGCCAAGATTCTAGGGCATCTGAACTGCTTTCCAGTTAACATTCTTTGAAAAGGAAAAAAGAGCCACCTTTAAATAAAATAATATAAACGATGACTTCACTTGGGCAGATGCATTCGTTGGCAGCTGTCTTGCCACTGTCCACCTCCCATTCCCACCAGGTGACAGCGCCATGCCCCCCGCGACCGTTTACCGGTGCTTCTAAGTCCCTGAGTGCAGAGCTGGGCCAATCTTTTTGTACTGCCAAAGCCCAGGGCTGAAATGTGCTCATTAAATGTTTCCTGAGCAAAGAACGCTTTGAAAACCCCAAACGGCTTACAACGGTAGGATACTCTCACTTTTAGAACTATCCCCTCTAACGCCCCAGTACACTATAGAGTGGAGGACCGTCTCCGCCCCGTCCCCTCTACCTGATGGGGAAAAGGGGGGGAATGCCTGGGTCCGGCGCCCCAGAGAGAGGCGAGTAAGGCGGGAAAAACATATCTCCAGTCTCCCGCCCAGAGCTCTAGCCACAGGTACACTGCGCCCTGCAAGACGCCAACACAAAAAAGCAGACTGCAAATGAATGAAAAAGCCTAGGAACAATGAAATTCTGGGATATCCAACAACAAGAAGAAGAATGCAATTACAACTATCGGGAGGCACGCGGTAAATCATAGGAACTCGGAGGAAGAAGAGAGGCACAGTGGTCAGCACCAGCCTTCCCGGAGGACGCGGATCCGGCGAGCAGCATCTAAACCAAACGGTCGCGGCCGCGTAGACATGGGCGCCCACAACCGCTCGCGCATGCGCACTCGCCCCCCACGCACGGCAGCACCCTCCACGCAGGAAGGCGACGGCCTCGGCGGCGGGGCCTCACCTGAGGGCGCAGAGCGCCCAGGAGCGCCGAGCAGGGCGGCCCCGCGCCGCGCCCCGGCCCCGCCTCCACCCCTCTGCGGCGCCCTCAGAGGGACAACGCCCGCAGGCCGCGGCCCGGCCTGCCGCGCGCCGCGTTCGACTTCCGGGGCGGCGCCATGGCAACCAAAGACGCGGCGCCGGCGCGCGACCGCTTCCGGGGTCGGGCCTTCCCGGCCAGTGTCTACGCCCCGCGCCTGGGGAACTGCTGTTCCCCGGGCTGAGATCCTAGGAAGAGCCAGGCCGTCCACCCCCGAGCCTCGCGAACGTCCGGGCCCAGAAATGAGGTTGAGAGAGGGCACGGGGCGCGGGATCGAGCCTGACGGTGGGAGGCAGAGCGGTGTGATGATGGGGGCCCCGGGGGTGCAGTCCCCTCTCTGTGCGCTCTGCTGCTCGGATTCCGGCGCTGTAAAATTGCGACTGTTGTTTGCACCTCCGTCGTAGAGTTGTTGTGAGGGCAACGTGACATGTTGCGCTCAGCATCTAGTAGTCAATAAATAGCCTACTCCAGGGTCACCTCATTTGTGAAGTGTTCCCCCAGCGTGGGGCAGGACTAGTTCCTCAAACTATGTCATCAATTCCTGGTAGGAAGCGGCAGCGGGGCCTGGTAAGAAACTTAAAGCTGAAGCCGGACGTGGATGGAAACCTAGCTGCGAAATCACTGGCTCTGTGACTTCGGGCAGGTCACTTCTCTGAGCCTCAGTTTCCTTGTATTCCTTATAAATCGGGGATAACAGCACCTGCATTGAAGCATTGTTGGGAAGATTATTTTAAAAGAAAAAAAAAAGGCACTGGCGTGGCACATAGTAGTTCCTCAAAGACTTCTTGAATTAATGCATACTAAAAGAGCATTGTCCCAGACGCCTGTCAGCCGTGAGTGCAGCAGGGGCAGCATGAAAGAGGAGAAACACAGTTCACATCCTGCTCTGATACGTTCGAGCTGTTTGGGCATAGGCGGATCCCAGCCTCTTAATTACAGTTTCTTCACGGAGAAATAGGAATAATGATCTTTGTCTCTCAGGGATGGAAGAGAGTTTAAATTCCCGGTGGACGGCACCGAGGAAGGTGTTTAACCTGTTCTACCATGTCCTTCTGCCCCTGTGCCATGTGCATGCCATTCCAAAGAGCATCGCCAGCAACCAAAATGCCAGAAGCCCGGGGTACTGATGGTGGGAGGAGACCAACATCACAAGAGCAAACAGTAGGAGAAGCCCCAGCCAATGTGAAGAATTAGCTGGGAGCTAGGTAGTCCCAGGAGAAAAAGACAAGAAAATGAGGCTAATCTGAGTTGAATTAAAAGTCTTCAGGGGCTTTCCATTGCCATCAAGATAACATCCAGACTCCTTAATGTGTTTTTAGTTTTAGTGCAGTTAAAAATCTGTTAACCTTTTTCCTCTATAGCATCTCACTTTCCTGTTGGGCATAGAAAGACCCACCTCACAAGTTGTAAAAACGTAAGACGCCAAAAATACAATCAACTAAGTTAAGTGATGCTTGAAACATATACATTATCAATGACAAAGCATTAGTTAGTATCCACAATATACAAAAAGTTTGCATGAATCGATAAGAAAAAAATACAAAAATTGCAGAAGAGATGGAACCGCAAATTCTAGAACAGAAAGATAAACAAAATGGTAAACAAATATGTGGAAAGATTCCCAAATCACTAAAAATTAATGATATTGAGATTTTTAATGACGTATTTTTTACTGATTAAATTGGCAAACATTTAAAATACAGTTACAACCAATGTTAGAAAGGATATGGGAAAAAAGGCATTTGTATCCACTGTTGATGGAAGTGAATATTAGTCCAGCTTTTGGAAGACTGGCGATTTGGCAGTATTCATCAGAATTTTAATATATGTTTAGTTGTATACTCTTTGACCTAGAAATTCCAATTTTAGGAATTCTATAGAAATTCTCTCAGATAAACAAAGATATATGTCCAACAGCACTGAAAGCAGTATTTCTAATAATGAAAAATTGGGAATAATATGAATGTTTATTAGGAGAGCTCTGGTTGGCTAAATTCAAGTTCACCAATTTAATGAAAGAGTATTTACCTATTCAAAGGGATAAGGTGCATCTGTGTGTGCTGACCTGGAAATGTGTACATGATACATTAAATGAAAACTGCAAGTTACGCAACTGTTTGTGGAGCCAGGTACCTGAAGGGTACCATAAATATTAAACCAATTTGCTGTTTTTCCTGTTTCACTTGTGGGTTGACTCAGGGGTCTGGAGGATTTGTGAGCTTGTTTTCCGGAGGATTCTCGAGCTTGTTTTGCAGAAGGAAGAGAAGGCCTTCGGGAGATTGCCATCACCCGTCACCGGTTGGCGGCCCTCAGCAGCTACTGAAGCCTGGCAGTCCCGCTGCCCAGGGGCTTGTCGGGAGTGACCTCTTTGTTTCCCTGAAGCCCCTCCTGCCAAGCCCCTTAGCTCCATAAAACACCCCCTGCTTTCTGTTCTGGGGGAGCAGATTTGAGGGAACCCAGGCTCCCACCTACTCTGTTTGGCCAATTCTTAGAAATCTTCGTCTCCAAGCACTGATGTCGCAGCGTTAGGCTTCCGGTGCATCGGGCACATGAACTTGAGATAAAGGGGTTCAGTGTCATTTGTATAGTGTGATCTTTTTAAAAAAAATTTGTGTGGAGGCCAGCCCCGTGGCCAAGTGGTTAAGTTCGCATGCTCCACTTTGGCGGCCCAGGGTTTTGCCAGTTCGGATCCTGGGGGTGAACATGGCACTGCTCATCAAGCCATGCTGAGGTGGCGTCCCACATGCCACAACCAGAAGGACCCACAACTGAAAATACACAACTATGTACCCGGGGGCTTTGGGGAGAAAAAGGAAAAATAAAATCTTTAAAAAAAAATTTTGTGTGTATATGCATTAACTATAACTTAAGAAGCATTAAAAAAATCTAAAAAAAATCCACAATACTATTAAGCGTCATTCTCTTTGGAAGTTGGAATAGAAGTTACTTCCTCTTTTTACAGCCTATAATTTTTATTGTCTGAATTTTTTAGTAGCACAAACATATTATTTTGTAATTTTTAAAACCTTCAATGAAATAAAGTTAAAAAAACAAACTTTTAAATTTCAAAATGACAAATGGAACATACATCTATCTCTTCGCATCTCAAAATCTCACTGAAAAGGCAGAAGAAACACAAAGATACAATAGAAGATTTATCATCCAGGAATCTTAATGCCTAATGATGCGGCTCACGAGCTGAGGAGGTGAAAGAAAGATTTCTTGGATGCTCAAGGTCGTGGTAGTGCTCCTTTATTCGGAGACTAGCATGGGGACAGGACCCATGGACAGTGAAGAGCTGCAATGAGTTGAGGGTAGGGTTAAATTTATAAGGCCTAGGTATGTGAGTTATTTCTTTACAAGACAAAGGAAATATGTAAAAAAGTTGTTAAAATGGTATAGGCCGGGGCCGGCCCTGTGGCCGAGCGGTTAAGTTTGCGCGCTTGGCTCTGCGGCCCAGGGTTTCGCTGGTTCGGATCCTGGGCGTAGACATGGCACACTCGTCAGGCCATGTTGAGGCAGCATCCCACATGCCACGACGAGAGGGACCCACAATTAAAACATACAACTAGGTACTGGGGGTATTTGGGGCGAAAAAGCAGAAAAAAAAAAGATTGGCAACAGTTGTTAGCTCAGGTGCCAATCTTTAAAAAAAAAAAAATGGTATCAGTGCAGGTGGGGTCTGGTTATCGGGTTGTTGTATAACTTTGGATACAATACGAGTCCCGTCAAACCAGGGTCGGGAGGCTCTATGCTTCCCAAAGGGCGGTGTAGATCGGCCTGTAGGCCGGAACGCCTTGGGCTTCTCTCCCTGGGGCAGCTTTGACCCTCACCACCTGAACCATCCAAATAAAGGAAATGCTTGAAAAGATTTTGCTTTAAGATCATCCATTTCTAAACCATTCCTTTGCGGTCTCTGAGGACTGGTTTACTCTGTCGAGTCATCGTTGGTCCTGGGAGATCCATCAGGCAGGGCAAGATCAGCTGCCCACGTGGAGCAGTCCCTGTGGGTAGTGACTCAGGGCGTAGTGGAAGATACCACGCGGTAGTGACAGCGCACGAGTTATGGCAGATCCCAGGGACATGTTCTGAAGGATAACAATTATATAAAGTACTGAATTACGGTTGTGAAAATATATATGTTGGTTGTTAAGTTCTTTTCAAGGGCATTACTCTCTTTTGGTGTTATGATATTTAAACTACAGAAATAGTCTTAATCCAGAACAGATCGGTTTCCAGATTTGGTTTTCTGCCAAGGGACTATCTGCTATAAATCTCTGACATCGTTGGAAAACTAGGAGAGATCCTCCCAACAGAAAAAACAGTGAGGAATTCCTGGAAATGAAATGAGAACAGATGAATGGGGCAACCTCAATAAAAATGAGGACAAATACTCCCCACTGAGCAAAGGAGAGAAGCTCAAAAAAAAAAAGAGTGAATTTTCTGAACAAAACCCTTCATTACCCTGAGATAAGAAGGAAGGACTGTGAGAAGATACACACATGGCCAGTTGGCCAGAAAATTAATTGAGGGATAGCTGGTTGGTCCAGACAGTCCTCTGACATTTAGGCTGAGGCCATGGGTCTTAATCCATTCACGCTGCTAGAACAAACGGAGACTGAGTGCCTTCTAAACAACACAAACAAGTTTATTTCCCACAGTACGAGAGGATGAGAAGTCCAAGATCAAGTGGCCAGCAGATTTGGTGTCTGGTGAGAACCCACTTCCTGGTTCACAGGTGGCCATCTTCTTGCTGTGTCCTCACAGGGCAGAAGGAGTGAGGGAGCTCCCTGGGGTCTCATTTATAAGGGCACGAATCCCAGTCATGAGGGCTCCAGCCTGGTG